TACATAATTTAGTGCGTCAAAACTGGCCCTAAGTCGGAAGGTGCGTGCTGCTCCTTAACTGTTGTGATTTTGCAACTTCACTTATTCTATATCTTAAAACTACTTTAATATCTTCTATTTTTCCAGTAAACGTAGTGTCTCATGGACGAACTCAACGATGTTTGTCAAATAACTTTAACTATTCGTTTTGAACGCAACTCTTCCGATTTCATGCATCAATTGGATTGGCAATCAACAGAACCAGAAGCCATTTTCCGCAATTCATTAAAAAGCTCGCCCTAAGTCCGATTGGTTTTTGTCAGCATTTCAAATGCTGATCGCATAATAAAAAGGGGCAAGCCGTTCCACATAATAAGGAAGATCTGTAATGATTGTATATCAGAAAAGAGATAAAAGAATGAATTTACCCCATTCTAAAACAATTTCTTCTCAAGAATTCATATAATTTATCATAACTCCTAAAGAGCGAGGGTATAAATAAAATGACAAATTAAGCAAACTTTTTCTCTTAGAGGTCGAGTCCAGAAACTCCAAAATTAGGAAGTACAAAGAAAAGTCTAAAATTGTTTGTCATACTTCATAAACTTGCAACTAAAATATATCTGAGAGTATATGGAGCTAGAAATACAATAATTTGATTAGTTCCTTTTGTTGTTAATATAAGCATATTCGTATTTGTGTGTGTACATGCGCCCGTATGTGTGCAAATCCGTTTATCCAACCACCAATCTTACGATTAAAATAAAGCACAAATTCAGGCCAGAAGTATTAAGGTTTACAGGCTCAAAGAAAAGCGTAAATTGGATTTACATTATCCCGAAAGGCGAGCATGATAGAGAATGTAAACGAATGTAAATATAGTTAGAAGTATTATAGGCCTATCACAGACAGACCATTGCATCAAGCATGAGTGGCCTAGCTATTCTCATGCTCATGCATACCACGAGGAGTTCTTGAATGTCTCAAATTAATTACACTATATAGTTCTTTCATCGATAGTATACCGGGACAAGTTTTAGCAGGTGAAACCATAAAACAAAAACTAAAGTTTGTCACTATCAGTTTCAGCACAAGCTGATCACACCCTTAGTTGAAAAGCATGCATCACAAGAGAAAAATATCCAGAAATATGTAAAAATATTTCTTTCATATGCGGAAAAATATGCCTCGAAAGGTATGAAAAGTGCAATTTATGGAGTTTTCCCAAATGATATTGGCCTCTGATAAATAAAGCATTACTTCATCAGTTCATTAGCGAAATAATTAAATGAAACTAGCTCGGATTAAAATAATAACATATATGAGAAGGCATTAAGCTTTGAATTTGGTAATTTTATAGGAAGGAAAAATATTCATTTGCTTTTAAAAAAGGCTTAACTGAGGAAGTTGTTAGAATCTCTATATGCAAAGTTCTACAAAACCGTAAATTTATTTATCATATCCATCCTAAATTAGAAACAAATGGAATAGTGATCAAACGAAGCAGGAGCAGTGGCTGGTAGGTATAGATGTTAATCTAGACCCAGGGTAGCATCTAGCATTGTGTATCAAACGGGGAACTGAAAAATTGGAAGATGAACACTCATCTTCAACGATATGCTAGGTATCCGAATCATATGGTCTACCTAAAATACATAATGACGGAGTCCCAATTAGAATTATTGTGATTAAGAAGGGAAGCGTGATGCATAAAACATCAAGAGTTATTTTTAACGAGTTAAAGCATACCTCCGAGACGTGAAATGTTTCCGTTAAGAATTCTTATGAATTCGTTTACTTAGCTGACGAGCAGATGATAGAAAATGGGTATTTACTATCAAGCTTTGATGTTGAGTCTATGTACAATGGCATTTCTGTATACGATGCCATATAAGCCCTGTAAACCAAACTAGACCAATGCCAGACAATTTTAGGGAGTACGAAGTTAACTAAAGTGTCACTAGTGATACTGACTAGCCTAGCGATGCACTGTACATGTATTACCTTTAATGGCAAACTGTACGTAAAATACGAAGTTTAGATGAAGGATCGTGTCCACCAACAATTTAGTGAATAATTACATGGCCCAAATTGAGGAACGCCAAATATTAAATGCAATTTTATCTCTAAAATTATTAGATCGCTATAAGGGCGACTATTTTCTTCTTTGGCAGCATAGCAAAGGAAAACTGGAGATTTTTATTTGTCTGATGAACAGGAGAGATAAAAAGAAGAAATTCACCATCGAGTTAGAAAAAGAAAGGGATATACTTTTTCTTGATGTCATAGTTAGCAAAGAGGGGACGATATAAGGTAGAGTTGTGTATAGGAAATCCAGAAACTCAGGTTCTCCTTTGACTTTATTTTCTAACCCCATGTATGGGATAAACCTAGGAGTTATGAAGCCTATGATAATAGGGATGCTAAGTATCGGAACCAGGAATCGAGAGGACTAAGGAGAGTTCTGGTTAAGGGCAGTTATCCACATGAACTGATTGATAATTATTTTCAAATATTTTCAAATAGAATTCAAGGAAAACATAATTGGGGCTAGACAAAAGGTTAGAACACTGTAGCATAGTACTTATGTTGTCATCGCATAATCTGTCAAAGAAGATAGGCGAATTAAAGAGGTGTGACATGAGGACTAGTAATAAAGTAAAAAATAATACTTTCCTCAACAATTCCTTATTTTTGAGACTATTACTAACCATCTCTCCTGATCGGGTTGTTACAAGCTTTTGTGTTCATACCGTAGCTGCTGAGGGTCAATACATATTAGGTTACCTGAGCATAAATCAGCATGTAAGGGTCTGTGGATCGAAAATTCGGAATCGGCTGAACATATGGTCCGCACAAGATACCAGATAGATTGGCCCAATGCCAATTTCTTAACTGGATATGGGGACTAGAACAGTAGGCGAAAGATTAAGAAACAATATAAATTACAAAAATGTCAACTACTTGGATAGAAAGAATGTGCGTATAAAGTTAAGTGGAAACAATTTGTGGCTGTTGGATAGGATTAGAGAGAGAAGAGGGGAACGAGCAGTACCACCAGGCAAGAGGAAGAGGCGTAATTAGACTTGAATCTTGTTTTGACCCTCACATAACACTCATTTCAAGAGAAATGTATTCTCACAATCGCATGCGCTAACATTTCAGGATTAAGGGTATACGTGTTTTAAGGAAGGATGCTGCTGTTCGGACACAATTGCATTCAATTCACGCTTCATCGCAGCCACTTTACATCTTATCAGAAGCCATTTAGCTTAACTTTACTTTTGAGCAAACATTTAGGAGAACAAAACATGAAATGCCTGAGTGGACCAAATTGGACTATAAAAAGTACGTAGGTTTGAAGACGCCTACATTTGTTGTTTTCGGGTTTTCGTGAATTATCGTTAAGCATGGTGTCCTGCTCTGACGATGTCTATCACATGACGGACAAAAGCTCAGCAGGTATTCCTCAGGGTCGCAGGGCTGTGTATCGAGGACCTATTGGCACAAATCTACAGTCAAGGCATCAAGACAATCCCCCTATAGATTCCGGTGAGGCCAACTTACGAATACCTTCCATTCACCTTTGCAAATGAATTGAAAGGCACTCCAACATCAAAATCTTTATCTAATAATCATAAGTAAATTGACATCATGTTCATATTGGCCAAATTTTATCATGGCGTAATCGAATTTGGCGTCCATGAAAACTTCAAGTGCATTTTTTTTCTATTTTTTGAGACACAAAGCGTAGACACATGTAAATCACATATTTAATATTAGGGTTACTCATCTTGAATGATGACCAGTTTGTTTTTGAGAAAATTAAGATGAATCCGAACCACGTGAAAGCTATTGATGAGACCCATTCATCCAAATCGAAAGAAAAGGCCCATGCAAGATACAAAGTATATTTTATTTTGGTGAACAAATTAAGTTAATTTAACATGCTATATTGCATATCTTTATCATAAAGCCATGGAGTAACAAGTAAGCAACTTATTAAATTATCATTCTTATTTTAGGGTATTCCATCTAATTAAAGTAATTATTGCTCGTAAATCTGTAAGATAGACGAAGTCACATTTAGGACCCTTCAAAGTTTAAATAGATTCAAAGTAAAATAAAGTTATATTTTGTTAATGTTGCGATCAAGGTATGTTTTAATAGTGCGAAATTCGATTTATTACGAGTTATATGTTGACACCGGGACACATATAATAAGAGGCGAAATTTTGATAATAGTGTTAAAAATTACAGGACAGTGGAGTAGACGCACAAGTTATCGCTAGACTGATACGCTTTATGCGCATATTGAAGCTTGTCATGTCAAATTTTATATCCATAGTAAACTGTATTAAAAGTTATCTAACCTCCCTTTAGCAAAAGCAAAAGTATGCTAAAGCAAATTTTTGATGTGAAAAAGTAGCGCTTAGCGATTAAATTGGAACAAATATTTGTAATAAGAAAGAGAAATAACTGTGGTGATAGCAATTCTAAAACTTGCAGAGATGTTGGAACGTATGAATCCACGGCACAGAATGTGTTAAAACATGCAGAGTAGGTAAATGAAAGAGGTAGGGTGCCGCCAACTTAATTAGGTTTTAAGGTCACTTTATGGAGTAAAATATTACAATAATAGATTTTGTTGAAAATGTAAATGCAATGGCTTTAATAACAAACACGACGATTTCATTGCAGCCCATGGAGCCTGGTAAAATAGAAAGATGTGATTGCTCTAAACGCATGTGATTATGCCTTTTATGCTGTATTGCTTTGATTTACTAGCTTTTTATTATTCTTGAATAATGTATTGCATCAATTAAGGGATAAAAATTGGACTATTTAAAAACTTTCTCAAGCTTTTTAAATAGGATGGATCTAATAACATGAATTTATTTGTTACAAATGTTTCGAATAGTAAGCGATTAATTAATACGACACTTTTAAGGAATTAATTTATCTTACTATTTGTGACCTACCTGTATTCATTTATTTATTTGTTTAGGATTAATTTACACCTACCTGAAATCATTTTTCTTTAAGAGTGCTTTGGGATTGGATGAAGTCTGCATAGGTTCTTCAATTGCACAACTTTCAGCACTCAGTTTCTCTTCTAGTTTCCTTGTAGGACGTTCAATCCGGTTGTCGTAAGGGGTTTTATCTGAAGCCTCCCTCTCCAATGAAGAGGACAAGCCAGCTGAGTTCGATACGCATGCAGATGCTTCGACAGGCTCTCTGTCCTCTTTGTACTGCTGGCAAAGCCGTTCTTTTAATGAGACTAAGGGAACGTCTGAGTCCAGGCTCTTTCCTGCTGGATCCATATGGTCCGACTGTCTTCCGAATGGATGAAATTCGTCACTTTCGGTAGAATTGCCAGGCGCGATGAGGTTGGAAGTGAAGGTTGAAGCTGATGCCAAGGAGGGAGAAGAGGACAAAGAGATGTGAGATGATAGTTTTGTTTTAACTTGTTCACCATTGCACGTAACAGTTTGAGTATCGCTAAATGTCATTTGTTGCAGGACAGGACTATCTGCTTCGGTTGGGCTGTTAGCATCTTCACGAATATCCTCGGAAGAGATAGCATCTTCTTGACTTAGAGACTGTTGTTTTGAACGAAATCCACGAGCTCTGATTGCATTGGCTAGAGTCTGGGACTTCAAAAGGCCAGTGTGCGAAGCAGGACCAGAATTGGTCGTTCTTTGGTTGGGGAGACTTTCTTGACTTTCTAAAAACAGCTCAGCAACTGGAAAACTGGATGCAGAAAGTGAGGCTGAAAGCATTGGTAATCGACTTCCACGCCCATTACCTCTCTGGCTGGCCACAATTCCCAATGTCTCTGCTGCTGCCGAAGTCCTACTTGTGGTTGCTCTTGGTGACATCAATCCACGGTCTGGCTGTTGGGCCCGACCGAGGCTGTCCTCACGACTGCGCACTGCAGCGAAGAGCTCGCGAGCCTTCTGCTTCAAACTGCTGCTGATCCTCTGTTGCCCGGCAACTTGACAGAGTTGAGGCAACGAACTAACCCCAGAAATGGATGTCGTGTTGTCACCTCCCTCAGCAATTGAGTCAGCACAACTCGCATTTTGGGCATCCAGAAATCTCGAGTCTTCGTTGCTATCAGCCTTATCTATCTCCGTCCCTATGGGCATAAGTTCATCCGGCTCAAATGATGAAGAAGACTCCTGATGGGACTGCTCTATCGCTTGTTGCGACTCATAAGACCATGTTGACGTCGGTGTTGGTCTATGCAGATCGGAAAGAGTGTGGTGACTGTCGTTGCCTGCTTCTACAGACCTGAGGCCGCAGTCGCCAAGGGGTGAGGCCAGACTACTATCTTTGGAGCAGGAGGAGGATGAGATGCCCGAATCTCGGCAAGCCTCACCTCCACTTCCATGGCCGCATTCACGACCGCCCAGACAACCAAAAGAGGGCGACAGATCTCGACCTTTACCAATGGCTTCAGGGCGTAAATGGGTTGTTTCCGTTTGGTTTATGGCAGGCGAAATCCGCGAGATTGACTCTTCAACAGCACATGAAACTGTGTGTGAATGCGAGCCATTTAGATCCGGTGGTTTGTGCCGTTTCAAGGGCCCTTCACAGTTCACATTCATCGCCGGTGGTAGACTAGCCATGCCATTGTTGGTCTTGTAGGTGACATGAAGGAGGCTCGAATCAATGGGCTCCTGCTGGCCCGATTTACTCTTTGGAAGTGGCAACATTTGAGTTTGTCTGCTCTCGGACAGCTGATTGCGAGCAGTGCTGCGGGAGCGTGATACCGACGATCGAGGGGTCATATGTCGACTCGACTTTGTGCAACCGGGCAGTCCTGACGTAGCAGAGCATAGGTTTATCTGCGCCAAGGGAACAACAGGTCTGTTGTCACTGTCGTTGTCTAAACTCCGATTCCAAGAAGCTCGGGACTCACCAGACCGTAGGGATGAACTCGAGCTGGTACCAGCTCGGCGTAAGTGTGGCGATGGCGAAGCTGAGAAGGAGGCAAACTGACCCGCACTCCCAGAGGTACCGATTAACCCGGCACGGTTGTTGCCGGCGCAACTAGTCGGTGCACGTATGGTTGGCCAGTTTTGGCCAGTTGCCGGGCCAACCTGGTCACAAGACGTGGGGGTTGAAGTGGTTGGAGGAAAGAGTGTCTCTGCCCCTTCACGGCAAGCCATGAAGCAATTTGAGGCTGTATACGAGGAATCTTGCTGCCAGGTGGAGTATTGTCGAGCAGGATGCTGACAGTCGTTTAAGAGGCATGGACCCGCATTTGGGGCAACCAATTGAGAAAAGTTGGAGTGTTGAGGTAAAGCTGGGCTGTTGGGTGTCCCCGGCAACTGGTGAATCTGCCCAGAAGCTTGATGCGGAATCTGAGTGGTGTAGATCTCATGAAGATCTTGTTGCTGCTGAATGGGTCGCCCAGTCGCCATGCAAGTGAGTAGGTTGTTATGGGAAGTAGTCGGTTTGGCGGGCAGTTGAAGGTGACGCGAATCCCCATGGCAGGTCAGATTGGGCCGAAGACAGGATACCTGAAGATGTCCTTCATCGGACGATAAGTTCGGCCTAAAGATGTCGGTGCAGGCGTTCGCCAGCGTGCCCAGAGAACAAGTAGCCAGACCTGATCCCTGATGACCTCCTGACCTCTGAAGGCAGGCGACCGGTCGCGAGTAGGGCAGATGATTGTCGGGTGGCATGGCAACTGACGAGTGTGGGTGCGGCAGCATGACTTGAGCATGGCGGAAGTGCTTATTTGGCAGATGATGAGAATGTCCAGACAGCACGGAAGGATGGAAAGCAGGCTGAGAGTGATAATTGTGCTGCTGGTCGGTTGAATGATTTAAGCTTGGCGAGTAATAGGGCTGGGAGACTGGGGACATTGGAAGAACTTGATAATGACTGGTATTCGTGTTTGGACAGACT